TGGGATGCCTTTGCGATGATGGGCAACTCTAAGATAGTCCTTGGTGGTGTCCTCGGCTATGCTTTGAACACTTTCGCCTATAATATCTGCGCTGTTAACGTTACTAACTCTGCCTCTGCTATCCATACCACTATGCTTGATTCTACTAGGACTATTCTTATCTGGCTCTGTTCTGTTATAATGTAATATTCAGGGCAAGTTGCGGAATGAATGGTATGCAAAATCGATTCAACCATGCGGCGTTTGGTAGAAGTCGAAAAAAGTGACTCGAAATGATTGCGATATCACTACCTCATTCACTCCTCGTTTGATCGCATATTCATTACTGTTATCAATCCACAGGTATTACATGAGTGACGACCACTCTTTCGGTGAGCCCTTAACGCCGTATTCGCTCATCCAACTCGCTGGTTTCGTCCTACTCGTTTACGGTGTGCTCGTCTATGACAACATCGTACGCCTTCCATTCGGGCTTGCCGGTCCCAACAAGGTAAGTATCTTATTTCCCTTTCAGTGAGCTTAGGTAGCTTATGCTTTTCAGGTGAATCCAACTCGGGCTCCCATGTCCATGTCGATGTCTGCTGGTACTCCTCTCGAACGGAAGCCATTCGTTATGGACGACTCGCCCAACTCCATTCTATCGTCAATATCCAACAGTGCTCGTCCCCATCGGGTTACAGTCAAATCCGAAGTCTATGAGCCGCTAGTTAATAATGCCGATAGACGAGTATAATTGATGTATTCTGCTCATCTTCGCTTGACGGTTTTCTCTCTGTTACTTCACAAGTCCTTACGTATGGACTTCGTCTCGCTATCCATACAAATGTTTTGTTGCTATTTGCTGTGTGTTGTACGGTTAAGGATGTGTTTTATAGTGTAATTCACATGATTGCGTATCGATAGTGCGATATCCGATTGTGGTGACGCCTTATCAGCACTATGTCTTGTCGTGAGTATAATATGAAAAATATTTCTGTTCAACGATGCCGTGTTGGGTGTCATTGTCAGTCAAATAATCGACAATAAAGGAACTGCAGGGTTGTTATTGCGGTGATCAACCTTGCTACTATCGCGACGGATATAATTGGGAGTATCTTACTGACTTCTAATGGATTTTCTCTCAATCCATTGGATATTGCTCAAGAAAAGATTGCTTCCGATCCCATTTCTTGAGAGTCGATAGTTCACATCTGTTCTTGTCTTATATGATTTTGAATGCATGAATTATCGCCATACTGTCTATGTCATTGCAGCGAAGGAACACTCAAGTTAACATTGTAAAATTCACAAGCTCACGCCTCATGCCTCCTGAGAATAGACTCGTTTAGGAGAAACACGGTTGCGACTCGCTGTAGACTATGGCGGGGAGCTACAGCATGTAACTCCTAAAATCTCGAATGAAAAGTAGAGACTGAGTCTGTAGGGGCCCTACAGTAGGGCTCTTCTCTTTGCATGAACCGGGTTACGACCGTAACTTTGGCCTGAATACTAACAAAGAAATGGAAGACTTTTTCGACTTTTTCAGAAGAAGCTTGCGCCGTTTAGTCAAGAATCTTGCTCGATTCACACTGACTGGCCGATTGGCTCTTGAGCCATGAGCCATGATGTAATTGATCAGCACCGAACAGGCGTTTCTTTGTAGCGTTGTGGCTCAGGCACGTTCCTTCCCAATGGCAACTCAGGTTCAATACAAAATTCGAAGTTCTTGATTGAAAATGGTGATGATAATATTCTTGTTATATGAATCAAAGAGTTTGACCGAGAATGGACAAGTCAAAAGTTTGCCATGAACAATGGGGAATGCGAAAACATAGCCCGATGGACTGTATGTCAAGAGAACAGCAGTCTCAACACAGAGACCCCCTTGGGAACCAGGGTCAAAACGCTGTATCTTGAATAATCACGCTCGTACACGACGAAGTAGCACGAGCAAGGCCGGTAAGATTAGGATTGGCATGCCTTGAGGACAATATCCGAAGGGGTAGGATATAATGAGTCGAAGCCATATATCCATGAACCATGGTGTATGGTCAAAGTATCACGGAATAGATCCAAGGTCATGGCCTTTCCTGTCATCCACCAATCCTCTTGACCAACTTGTGTGCGATTGTCCATAAGAGAGAGTAAGACATCCAACTCCTTCTCCTCTCTTTTCAATACCGAGATATTGAAGGGATAGTTCACTGTGTCCGCTACCGATTGGAATTCCTTCACGGGGATGCCATCATTGTAGACAACCATTTGTGTAGCGTTAGAGCGAAGGGCCACACTTAAGCCCTCGCCGGGAACAGATCGACAAAAGAGATGATTCACAGGCTGAAGACAAGCGCCATAGGTTAAGTGTATCAGTTCAATGGACGCAGTGTTCATGTGAATCTCCGATTTGCCACTATCACGGGGTAAGTACAACATATTGATCAAGTGTTCGACGTCCAAACCAATGGAAGTAGCGAAGGCTTCCACTTGATAGGTATTCGGTAGTCTCAAGCTCAGCCGACCTCGTCGTTCAAGTGGAAACGCTAAAAACTTCATTTGGTTATCTCCGATAGCTGCGATGGTATTGTTCTTCGTCTGCCCATATAATTTGAAATTACCGATGGCCACCCTGTACTTCCACTCGTAATCAGTCGGTCTGAACGCCATAATGAGCTTGTACGAAGCATCTTCCCTAGCACAATACATACCGCGAGGTCCCTCATAAACCGCTGATACCCACGAGATAGTGGCAAACAAGAAGGTAACGAGATAGGTAGATAGGGCAGCCATGCAAGGCGAGACGAAACTGTGAAAACAGTGGGCCCTTAACCTCATCAGATACGGGAAACCCATATGACTACACTGAGGTATTCAGTGAGTTAAGCTCGACACTAGATCTCGAACATGTTAAGCACAGTACAGATGCTTGGGGGAACATTGCCTGCATAAGCGATTACTATGACCCAACCATCAAATGATTGGTGTGACGGTTGGGTCGTACGTGTCAGTATTAACGAAAAGGACTCCGGCTCTGGTGACCGAATGCCGAGCAAACACGCTGTTTGTGATATAGTAGCACTAGTGTGTTGTTCGCATGCAGTAGAGCTGCCATTTGGTCGTAACGCGTAGTCGATAACACGAGTCAGAAGGGTTGTAAAGATCTCAGTCTTAATCTCTTCGGGGGGATAGATGATTAGCTATACACGTCCCATCGCACACAATGGATAGGAGCAGTAACACTTTCACCTCCAAATGAACGTTGATACTCGATTAATGATGAAAAGGGTGGTATACAATCAAACGAAGTATCGGCGGTGTATTACAGTCTGGCACCCTAACTCTTTTCAATATAGCGGGTTAGACGAATGCTGAAATTTCAAGTTCACGAACTCACTCTTGTGTACGTGCTGCTTTCAGCCCTGCAAAGTAGCAATCGCATGCACACCTCAGCAACTACAAGTATACAACCACAATTCAAAATACGAAAAACTACACCTCGTGACACGATGCAGCGAGGCTAGCGAAATAAGTAATCCAAGGCCCGAGCGCTTAGGGTCACAGATCAACGCTGCCGTGAGAATCGCACGGTGCGATGTCTCACCTTCACCGTACGACCCAGGTTCAAAACCTGCTCCTTACTGTGTCACAACTGTGTCTCCAATTGTGTTGTCCTAGATAACACACTTCTGATGACCTTGGTTCTCTAGCTTTTCCATTAACGAAATGCTACTTTCTCTGATGACTAGTGTTGAGTCTAGTAGTGATATGTCAGCAGACTCAGAGAGGACTGATCGCAACAGCTCCTCGACCCTCGAGAACCGCGCACTGTGCAACACAATCTGGTTATCTCACTTTTTCGCTAGTATGTAGACATCGAATAAGGAACCGAGAACAAGCAGCCAGTACTGCCTCCGTCAACAGGAGGAGTAGTGTTGTGGTCGGTTACTACGCAATTGACAGTACGAATTGGATAAACGTAAGTTTGATGGTTTTACTGCACGACAGGGTGAGAATAGATGGTCCAAAATGATCCGAACACGCTCAACCGCTGATAGGCTGATGGACGTACTTATCAGTCGTAGTGGTAGTAACGTGGTCAATCACGGTTAAACTAACCGTATGCAGTCGTAGTACGACATCGACACTATGGTTACATGAGCGTTCTCGATGGTCATTGATGTACTACTGAGACTAACTCATATTCAATTAACGGATGGAAACAATCAAACTATGGAGAACATAATAGCAATCTAACCGGACTAGCTTCCCCAGCATATAGCAGTCAATGATTTACAGTGCTTGAGGATGGCTACCTATACTACCGATAACAGACGATGACTCAGACGGGAGAGAATAGATCGCCTCATTGTGGCGAATAAGCACATAGAATATGATAGTGCATAGGCCGCGGACGCCAGCAAGAATGATAAGAGCACGAGACATAGCTCGCTCTAGTTCTGCGAAATACCAGACTGCAGTCCAGAGGAATATCGATAGTGACGATCGATTCCAGAGTGACTTGGTAGTGTTGATGAGATGTGAGAAGAGTGAGCAGAAAATGACAAAGATAATGATTGTGTTCTGAAGTGCTTCCTAACGTGACGACAAATGTGTGACATGAAGTTCGACAGCTGAATCGGAGTACTAATATTAATGCTTGTCGAACAAGAGGGTCATCGACTTTAACAAAGGTCTTGCCCAAAACACAGCTATAATGATGAATAATGCTTTCAACAACGAGAACATTTTACTCTGTACTAGCATTGTATCAGTACTAGTAGACGAACGATGTCCCATGTCTTTTCGAGGCCTCAGACCAACTGCAGTCGAGCCTTCTCGTCGCTTCTTAATTGTAGGATCCAAAGGTGGTCGACCACGAGATACCTCACTCATAGCCGCTGGGGTTTTCTCATCGACGCAAGCAGACTTACGCGGCCCGTCGCCACGTTGCCCGCCTGACATGAGACAATTCTATGTAGTATTGGGTGCCTATACTCACATATGCTTTTAATATGCCTTTTCATGAACAGATGCTCTCGAGCCTTCCTGGACACTACAGCCTCTGGTGGATAGAAACCGTAATAGGCATACTTCCAGTACAGTTCCTCATATCTCTCAGCTACTCGTACAGCGTAACGATGCCTGACACCAACAAAGTAGCAGCCAATCGATAACAACTTAATAAGAACGAAACTTCTCTATGCTCACGAGAGGAAACCCTGACCCTTGATCACTCACGTTGGATCATCAGTGCAGCCGGTCATTACTGACATAACCTTATCGACAAAACCTCGTGCGCCGAGACGTAGTATCCACTTTACCAGAGAATTGGGTACCAACCAGGTAGGGACCCCAGGATCTGCTAAGACGCTGACAAACCTGAAAAGAAGCTTCTTCAACCAGTAAGCGCATCGAGTACTCATGACGTGTGAGCGGGAACTATCATTATTTATACGATTTCGAGGTGTGCTAATCGGACCAGTTATAATCATCAATTGCATCAGAAATACAGTGAATGATAAACTTACACATCACTACGACGCTCAGGATCCTTCAACGACGGCCTAACGTAAACCGCCGTGGCTTTTTGTTCAGTCCGAAATACCTACAAAGAGTGTAAGTTATGGTACCATCCAATCTTCTGCATGGAAGACCTTCAAACGAGTACATGAGAAAGTCCAACGTTAGATCAAGTCCATGGAATTTCCAATTTTTCGGATTAAATGCAGTGTACTAATGAGAGCCCCTCCCAGGTATAGTACCCGACGAGCAGGGTCATCCAATTGAACTCCTTTCCATGACTTAGCATCCAATGGTGGGGAGTAATCAATCATTAACGACCCTGGAGTTGGTGTGCACTTGGGAGACCACGAATAAAGAGTTCTGAGGCAGAGAGATAATATCAAATCGACCATTCCGTGACAAAGGTAATACCGATGGGAATACGAGTCGACTCCCTTGATGGCTGGAACTGGTGGCACCGCAAACAGATGGGTCATCATCTCATCTAATATGACAGGACGATTAGGCGCTGGATGAGTGAAGATCGACGAGTCAACTTCACTGGAGCTTCCTCGAGTGCTGCTAGTTGGTGTCTGGAATCAAGCGGGTACTCAGGGAAGGAGAGCATCGTCAATAATATTACATCGGACATCCACTCCTGTTCTTTATCTCGACTCCGCTGTGTAGAGTTGTCACCATTGGGAGGAAACGCGGCTACTTTGTCGACAGTTTCGAGCATTGGGAACCATACTGAGTTGGCAAAGTCGAGGGAGAGATGACCCACGACGGTTCCTACAAGGCGCCAAGTCCATCTCCCAGCTAGCTGCTACTTGGAATAAATACGGTACGTTCATACCCTCAATCATTATTTGGCCCTTCAGCAGACCTGAACCGACCCGATCAAAGAGTATTCTGAATGAGGTCAGTCTGACCCTTATTAAATTCACAGTCGACGCTCATACTGCAGTCGGGATCATCATTGTCAACTTGCATGGCAACAGCGTTCTTGGTCTCATTCACATGTACATCATCCTTATGATGATGCCTATGAGGTATCCATGAGCTGCCGCGAGACATCTTCTTGGTGAGCTGTGGCGGTGCATCATGTCGAGCTACTGCCTGAAAAAGACCATGAGCACATACAAATCTGGATATTTCAGAGAACCTAAGGCATATCGGCCCCAGAGAAATTCGAGGATACTGCAAAAGAATACAAAGAAATAGAATAGAATACAAGGAATACAATAGAAAGAGAGTGACGTGTGAACTGAAAAGTCGTTTCAAACTACAGAGGGGGGCAGCTATGCCACTTGAAGATACCCTCAAAAACAATCAAGCTCACAGAAGCATGAAGTAGGCGATCCGCCCCGAGGGGCAGCTATGCCACTCGCACAAGATATGTCACATCCCATGTGTATCAATTCCGCCGAGACGATCGAAGCAACACCAATTTCAAGAAAATATAGTATGGAATGCCTCTGTGAATAGGTCCACTCCTGCCTGTGGGGCAGCCATGCCAAAGGCTGATGTTTTTCATACACGCCGGAGTATCTTCTGTCAGCGATCGACAATACTAAAGCTGAATCGTCGAGTGCTGGTCCAACTCGAACTAGACTCGACTAAGAATATGTAGAACTGTATAGTTTTGTTATCAGTATCAACCCCCAAAGCTGTAGTATAGCTGGCAGCTGAATAATAAAGATTGAGTTACCTTCTCAGTCATTGAGAGTCCCCAATCGGTGGCATCAGCCCATTTATGTAGCATCTCGGCATGATGAGCTTCTACTGTTTGGCAGCTCTTGAAAGACTCTAGCCCAGATGGACAAGAGGGAGGGGAAGGAGCCTCTTCAGGGAGAGGATCTACATCCCCTCGATGGGGTTGTGGCCGTATGGATGTCGAATGGTGGAGAGTGCTTGTCATTCTTTCCTTCTGCATTATACACGTCTGACATGAGCTACTATACAAACCGCGCTTCAAACGTTCATCAACAGTTCCAACCACTTGACCAAAGCTCGTCAAGATACGAGCAAATCAGTGGTGAGTTGTACACGCATACGACAATGCGCATGTCGGGGAGTTCAAGTGAAAACATCGCCGTCCTAGGTGAAACAATTTCATCATAATATTTCGGAGGTGGTCATTCACGTCTAACCAAAAGGGCTAACGAACCTAATGATAACCTCACATATACAGACGGGACGCGGGGTCCAGTCGTCCAAGGTTCAATCCCCGGGTCCTCCATTTTTTGAGTGCTATCAACTCAACGAACTCCGCGGTGTGCGCTTCGGCGCGTTGCACGGAGACCTGTTGGCCGCTATGGTTGATTTGTCCCCTACTTACTTTTGTATTTACTGTACTTTTGTTATGGTATTGGCTGTTTGCTGTCTATTGTGCTAGCCTCGATGATTCGCGCCACGTGTTTGTGTATGTGTGCTGTTACCTGGGAACCTACCTGATCAGTGATCACCGCCGTTGTGCACAGCGGTCACCGCGGTTAACATGAGCCTACGAACGATGAGTGCGCAAGATGAGTATCGGCGCCGACGTATCCGATGGTTTCAGATTCCGCAGTGTATCCGCACCGGGCACGTGGATTGCTCTAAGCATCGA